CGCCGCAGTCAGTCGTCCCCGTCGTCCACGCCTCCGTCCGCGTCGTCGTCGTCATCGTCGTCGTCGTCGTCATCGTCGTCGTCGTCGTCGTCGCCGCCGCCGCCGCCGCCGCCGTCCTCGTGCCTGCGAAGCCCGCCGGCGCGGCCTCGTGCGCCGCGGAGTCGCCAAGGCGGGGAGCTGGACTCGATAGCAGAGGCGGACGCCATCGCCGCGGAGTTCAGCCGCATCGAGAGGGAGGCCCTTTTCTCGCTCCCTCCTGCTCCTCTGACGTAGGACGAGGATTCAAGAATACCTGGGGAGGGCCCGTCTCGGCCCCCTGGGAGATGCTTCATACAATGGGTTCCAGGGCTGCCCGTGGGCGTCGTCGTCGTTATTGATGAGATTCCATAGTTTGATCGCCCTCTCCTAAATCTGCACCGTCGGCAGAAGGCTAGATTCTTATAGTTCGCCCCGTGTGTTTTCTGAATCGTCATATGACGAGCCTTGATCGAGGCTCGAGGATCGAGGCTCTCCCGGCGCTTCTTGGTCGGGGATCGGCGGTCTTTGTCGAAGATTTGTCCTTTTTGCCGTCTTCCGATCGAGGATCAAGGCGTTGGACGTGTCTGCCTCTCTCCGGGCCCCCCAGCAACCTCTGGACAAATCTGGATCTGCGGGCCTTCAGTGAGGCGTCTCGCCTCCTCCTTCGTTTTCCTTCTTCTCCTTTTACTTCTCCTCTGTTTGTTTCTTCTTCGAGGGGGTACGACCCCCGCGTCTAGCATCCCGTGGCCATTTGATATAACGACTGTCAGGCAAACGGAGAGGATGCAGAGGGGAGTGGTTGCATGGCACAGCTAGCACGAGCGTGAAAGAACAACCCCAGCGTTGGATGGTCTTCGTGCTTGAGCTCTCCACCTCGAAATGTTCTTCGCCTGGGGTATCTGCATGGGGCTTTGGGCATTCGGCGAATGGAGCCCTCGTTCTTGACCTTTTTGTTCTGGGGCCCGCCTCGTCTCTGTCTTCCGCCCCTCCGATTCCCACGCGCCCGCCCCCCGCGCTTCAACGCCATGGGGGGCAGTCAGGCCCGCTCTTTGGCGCCGCTGCTGCCGCTGCATCCCGATCGTCGTAGCCGCCTCCAGCACTCGGGTGCGGCCTCTCAGCTGGCGACGCTGGCGCGGCGGGTGTCGGTCGGGCCGCGTGCCCTGCCTGGCACCGTGGGCTCTTTCCAGGGGTGCTCGAGCCGGGGTGGACGTGGAGGAGCTGGGCTCTGTGGCTTCGACCTGAGCGTGCAGGTAGGGTTGAGGTCTGGCCTGTCCCTCTACAGGAGGAATGCTCAAAAATTGAAAAAATAGTGTCGGGACGATTTGTTGAGTATGTTTATACAACCATTTCAGAGTATGTTTTGACTATTTTTACCTAACAGCTTTTGCTGATAGGTTTCTAGTGGGGTCAAAAGAGAGCAGCAGATGACTCCACAGGGGGGTCGGGGCGGCATCCGGGGAGCTGTGTCCGAACTCGTGTCCGAATGCGCTTTTCGCAAACAGTCACACACTTCGTGCTCTTCGACCTCCCAGAACTCCATTCCCGGGCCACATTCTGAATGCCCGGAGCCAACTGTAGGCCACTTCGTGCTCTTCGACTTCCCAGAACTCCATTCCCGGGCCACATTTTGAATGCCCGGAGCCAACTGTAGGCCACTTCGTGGTCTTCGAGTTCCCAGAACTCCATTCCTGGGCATGATTTTGAATGCCCGGAGCCAACTGTAGGCCACTTCGTGTTCTTCGAGTTCCCAGAACTCCATTCCCGGGCCACATTTTGAATGCTGAGGCAGGCTGATGCTGAGGCTGAGGCAGGCTGAGGATGAGGCAGGCTGAGGCTGAGGCCGAGGCTGAAGGCAGACTGAGGCTGAGGCTGAAGCAGGCTGAGGCTGAGGCTGAGGCAGGCTGAGGCTGAGGCTGAGGCAGGCTGATGCTGAGGCAGGCTGAGGCTGAGGCTGAGGCTGATGCAGGCTGAGGCTGAGGCAGCCTGAGGCTGACGCCGAGGCTGAAGGCAGACTGAGGCTGAGGCTGAGGCAGGCTGAGGCTGAGGCAGGCTGAGGCTGAGGCTGAGGTAGGCTGAGGCTGTGACTGTGACTGCCGTTGCCACTGCGACTGTCATCGCGAATGCGACTACGACTGCGAGAACAGCAGAACTGTACAACTGGATTATCATCTGAATCGTAAGGGGAATGCTTCCAGATATGCTCCTACACATCGCTGTTAGGTTGCTTTGCCGGGATAATTTATTTTTCCCCCCAATTCCGCCTGTAGGGGGACACGCCCAACCAAACAGTAGGGCTCACCGGCTCCGCCTGCGGCGGCGTGCCGCGGGTTGACCTCGGCCTCCTTCTGCCAGCGCCGCGCGTCCGCGTCGAGCTCCCCCGTGCCCCTGCGCCGCCTTCGCCTGTACTTCGCCCTTGGCTGCTCGACCTCCTTTTCCGCTCCCTTCTCTCCCTCCCCCTGCCCCTCCTCCTGCCCCATTCTTGGTTCTCGACGTTCTCCCTCCCGCGCTCCGCGCCCACACCGAGCCTTTCCTCGTGCCTCCTGCAAGCGGCACGGAGCAGCTGCGGACGGGCGACGCAGTCTCTCGCCTGGTCCCCGCCCGCAGCATGCCTCCAGCCCGCCCGCTCGCTGGAACCCCCGCTCTCGCTCGACCGGTTGGGGGGGAGGGGAGCGGCGCCAGCCTCGCAGCCCCGAGCGGCGCTTCCGTTCTCTGGCTGGCGGGCCTGCCAGGCTGGGAGAGCACTCGACGGCGGGGACAGCCGAAGAGGAAAGCAAGCCACAATCATAAACATAACATCTGGCACCCTCGAGGATTCCTTGGATCCGCGCTGGCCCCCCCCGCCCCGGGCGGCGCCTCCGGCGCCGCTCCCGGCGCGCTCCGCGCGCCGGGGAGGGGGGCCCGGCGCAGATCCCAGAAATCCGCGCGGAGCGCCAACAGTGTATGTTCAGGTGGTTTTGCGTTGCTCTGACAGAGCAGGGCCCTTGGTTTTGCGTTGCTCCGACAGAGCAAAGCAGGACCCTGGGGCGCCAGGGCTTCACGGGCTGGGCCGCCGGCCTCCTGTTCGCACAGCCCCAGGGCCCTCACCTCAAGGGGCGCGTGGCAGGGCTGGGCCTCGGGTGGCCACTCCAGCTGCCAGGGTGCCGGGCTGGGGCTGCGGGCCACCCACCGCGCAGCACGGCCCCCGAGACCCGCGCCACCCTGGCACGTGGCAAGGCGAGGGAGGCCTTGTGCCAGCCTCTCCCCTCCTCCTCCTCCTCCTCCCTCCTCCTCCTCCTCCTCCTCCTCCTCTCCTCCTCCTCCTTCTCTCCTCCTCCTCCCTCCTCCTCCTCCTCCTCCTCCTCCTCCTCCTCCTCCTCCTCCTCCTCCTCCTCCTCTTCCTCTTTCGCTGCCGCCAGCACGTCTGCCGCCGCTGCCGCAACCGCAGCCGCAGCTGTCGTCGTCGTCGTCGTCGTCGTCGTCGTCGTCGTCGTCGTCGTCGTCGTCAGCGCCGCCCTCCGCTCTGATGTCCCTCGTCGGCGCCGTCGCCGCCGCGATCGTCGTTGCCGCTTGGGGCAGTGTCCGTCGCTTCGGGGCCGGTCTGCGCAACGGAGCCCCCGCCGCTGGCGGCGCCGCCCCCCCCCCGACCCCTCCCAGAGCTCGGCCACGCGCAAGGGGGGGGTAGGAGGAGGGGGAAGGCTTCTAAGACGCACCCCTGCTTCTCAGAAGGCGCGGGCCTTGTCTACAGATGTAGAACCGGCGCCTTCTAAGAGGCAGCCTCCTCCCAAGAAGCCTCCCCCCCCTCCTTCCACCCCCTTGTGCGCGCCGCCGAAGAGCAGCGGCGCCCAGTAAGAACCGCCGAGGCGCCGCCAGAGGCGCTAGACCGACCGCGCAGGCACTGTGGGTACCCGGGGACCGCGTGCGGCTGGGCAGCTTGCTGGGATCGCGAGAAGGCGTCCGACGGGGGGGGGGAGCGGCGCCCTTCGTTGTGGGTTGCGGCGCGGGGGGGTGAGGTGGGGCGGGGAAGGCATCCGAGGGGGGGAGCCATTGTTGTGTTTTTTTGGGGGCATTTTTGGGGTTGTTATATATTTATATATATATATATATTATATAATATATATATATAGATATGTGTGTGTGTGTGTGTGTTAAAAAATGGGGAGGGGTCCTGGACTGGGGGGGTCTCACTTTGCCGAGTGGCTGTGCTGCTCCCCCCCCCCACCGGAGGCGCCAGGACACTCCCAGGACCGCCTGAAATGGCTCCAGGACGCCCTCAGGACAGCCCAAGAGAGGTCCGAGATGGCCCGGGAGCACTCCAAGACGGCTCCAGATGGCTCCAAGATCTGCCCAAAAGCTTCCAGAGCGTCCCAGTAGGCCTCCGACAGCACCCCCGGGAAGGGCCGAAGGGACAACAATCGTGGATTTGTGAGTGGTGTTTGATAGATTGTTGCGTTCTCCCCAGTTTGGCTTCCCAACGCTCCAAGATTGCCCAAAGGGCCCGAAAGATGAACCGGAGACGGGCCAAGAGGCCTCCAAGAGAGCGCCGAAACAGCCCAAGAGGGCCCAAAAGATGGCCCAAAAGGCTCCCAAGACGGCCGAAAAGGGCACCAAAAACGCTCTAAGAGGGGCCCCAGAAGGGGAACACGAACCGAATTTCAAACCCTCGCCCACTTGAAGCCCCCAGGAGTCCCCAACAGACCCTTGACAGGCCCCCAGGACGCCCCAAGAGGCCTCCAAGAGGCCCCCGAAAGGTCCCCAATAGGCTCCCAAAAGGCCCCAAGAAGAAGCTACGAAGTACCCAAGAAGCCCCCGAAAGCTCTCCAAGAGGCCTCCGAAAGACTTCCACCACACATATCCCAACAGGCATCCAGCAGGCCACTGGCCCATCACCCAGGCATGGCGGCCTCAGACCCACAACCCAAGTCCCCAAGACGGCTCAAGCGGCATCCAAGACGCTGCGGAAATGTCCACGAGTTCGGCGGGAGAGCCCCCTCTATATGGATTAGCATAAATCAGAAAACCTCGCTCGGCCTGTGGAGGCTTCCCCCCTCCCCTGACTCCGGTTCCACCCCCCCGCCCTCCCGCCCGCTTCCCCTCCGCCGCTCCCCTACCCCGCTCCCTCTCTCCCGCCCCTGTCGGCCCTGCGGAGTCCTTGTCCCTGGGGGCCCGGCACGCGAGGCTACGGGGACTGCCGAGTCTGGCAGGCCGATCGGTAGATCACCACCTGGTTGGAAAGAGAGAGAGAGAGAGAGAGCCATGCCTTTCCTGCTGGGGGGGGGGCATGGCCCCGGAGGCTAGCGTGAAGTCGGGCATGTCCCTCTACAGGAGGAATATCCAATAATAGTTTTAAACATTGTATGGTGACGATCTGTCGTGCTCTGTTGACTATGTGTGGTTATTTTGTTGACTACTAGTTCCTTTTTTCCAAACACCGCCTGCAGGAGAACATGCCCGACCGAAGGCCAGCGGTATGGGCTCGAAAACAGGAAAGGATGGCGTCAAGTCGACTCCCCTTGCCTGGCCAAAAACACCTGAAACTGCTCCCCTCTGCAAGGCCTTCTCGTTGAACTTTATAATCTACTTGTCGCGCTTCCTGATCAACTTCGACCAGGGGGCGGCGGGCTGGTGGGCCAACTCGGTGCTGCCCCTGGCGCCCTCGGGAGCATCAGCCACGGAGCCGCATCCTCCTCCGTCTCCGCCTCCTCCGCCTCCTCCTCTGTCTCCTCCTTCTCCGCTTCTCCGCCCCCGCGCCTCTTCCGACCCGTCCTTGCTTCGACTCTAAGTTATATGCACATTCATGTATTAAGGCGATGTTTGCATAACAGCTTGGATACAAGTTTTTGCGCAGCAGGGAACATATATTCACCCACCAAGCAGGATGGCGCTCCAGGCGCAGGAGCATTGGCGAGGTTTGGCAGTCGATATCGAAGCAAACGGGTCCAGCTGCTTATCCTATCCCAGCAATGCCGCCCCGAAGTTGAGCGAGATGCGCGCAGAGTAACGCCACAAGGGCCGTCCGCCGAGGGCAGAGGCGGAGGGTAAGCATGGGAGATCCTTGGCAGAGGGCGGACGCACAGGAGATCTGAGCCAGACTGTAACAGGTGGCTGTGTTGTGCTTGTGTGAACAACACTCTGAGATGTTTGTTTTCCTACGGGAGAGGTGGGCCGAGCTGTAACAGGCGGCTGTGTTGTGTTTGTGTGAACACGATGAGGTGTTGGTTCTCTCCTTCTCCTAACCTTTCTACGCTCGAATGGACCCGCCACCTTCCATCCAAGATCTCTCAGTCAGGCAGCTTTCCATGGTCCCGTCTCCAGCCGCGGCAGCGTGGGGAGCAAGACGGCAGTGGCGTCCAGATCGGCAGCAATGGTCGAGTGCAAGAGTTTACCGAGGCAGTGAGCATTCGACGTGCCCGTGCCAGTCCTGCGGCTGCAGAAAAACACAAGCAAGCACAGCAGCAGTGCAGGAGCTGCCAGCCGTGGCGGTCGTCTCCTCGCTTCTCCGTGCCTGACTCTCTCCGCGCGGTGCTGGGGCCCCAGGCGCACCGCCGCCCGGGGGGACGTGGGCGGGTTGTGGCCTCGCCAATCGTGCGTCCGCTTGTTTCCCCATGCGCCCTGGGCTGTTCATTCGCGCAGGGTGGGGGCGGCCACCTCGTCGAGGAGGAGCGGGAGGGGAAGGGGGAGGGGGAGGGGCAGGAGGAGCAGGAGGAGGAGGAGGAGGAGGAGGAGGAGGAGGAGGAGGAGGAGGTGGGGGCGGGGCGGGGGGGAGGGGGCGGCGGTTCGCCCCGCGGACGAGAACACACACAACCCATGAACCTCGTCGAGCTCCTGCGCTCGGTGGGGGGGCAACGAGGGTGCAGACAAGTGCCAGCAGCAGTTCGACGCGCGCCCGGCCCAGGCTGGCGTCGCGCCCCCGTTGGAGCAGAGAGTCAGCGAGTCTTTGGACGACACGCGTGGTTTGGAGGGCAAGCTGGCCAAGTCCGCGTCCACCTTCGAACTGCTCCAGACGCAGTTCGGTCATCAGCGAGCATGTATCGGGGGCGTCCGCAAAGCATCCGTGAATCCCTGTTGGGTGAGCTGCACAGCTCCGTCGATGGTGAAGCTCGGAAGCAGGAGGGCCACGAGACGGACGCCGACCCCACGATCACCTACATTGGTGATTTCCTTGAGGGCGAATATGATATTAACCAATAAAGGCAATTGATTGGCAGTGGAAAGACATCATGCTCTCTCAGTGGCGACGATATCACCCAGGCTGCTAACAAAATACGCAGCCCACATGAGCACACCACCAAGACTGTCAAGGAGTTGTCTGCGTGACAGCTGAAAGCGCAAAGGAATCCCGCACGGAGCAGGAAGAGCCGTAGGCAAGCTTTGATCAAAGAAACAGCATTCTTTGTAGCCGAGGCGTCTTCTCGACTTTGCTGGCGAAGGCGCAGCATACCCCGTCGCACAGCACAGCTTGCCGCGGTCGTTCCTGGAGGAGGCGTGTGTGCTACATCTGCTGTTAGCCGCGGGTGGCGAAGCGTCCGCGCCAGGCCAGCCGAGCGCATCAACGGCGCCAGCTTCTGCCTCTGACATCGGAGCCCGCGCCGCCATCATTATACAGCCCCCCACCCCCTCCCGAAGGTGCAGCGGGCGCTTCGGGGATGGAGGCGGCGTCTGAGTCAGCGGATGAAGCGTCGGAGTTTCAACGTTCTCCAAGTAAGCTCGCTGGTGGGAGTCCTAGCTCCATCCCTACAGAACCGATCCTCTGATCCCCCCCTCCCGATGTTGCCCCCCCCATTAGTCCGAGTATGCGCACGGTTAGCCCGGCTTTCCGCGCAGGTAAGCGCATGGCTTCCTCTGCTATCCGCTATGCGCATGGCTTCCTCTGCTATCCACACGGCCTCGTCCAAATTATCCGCCCGGCTTCCTCTGCTATCCGCATGGCTTCGCCCGCCAGAGCAGAGCAACGCAGAGTAGTTCAATGATAGTCTAATTGAGAAAAGTCGTGTACGAGTAGAACAGAGCCGATGAGAGTATAGTAGGTGTAGAGTAGAGTAGCATGGAGTGCAGTAGGAGTAGGAGTAGAGCAGAATAGAGTCGATCACCAGGGGAGGGGAGGGTACAGTGGAGCAGAGCGCAGGAGAGTACAGCAGGGTGGATGATAGCGTAGTGTCGGGTATAATAGAGTCGGGTAGAGTGAAGTAGAATACCAGGTCCGAGAACACATTCTGGCATTGCGCGTGAGTACTGCCCTACGAAGTCCAGGTTTGTGAGGCCAAGGCCGACCATGGCGTAATTATCTCAGGTCACCGACCGCTGGGACTGCCACCTGCGGCAGGGGGCTGGTTGGGTCGATGGTTCTGCGAAGGCCGCGGCAGCCTTTTATTTTTTCCCGTCCCCGCCCGAATGGGAGTACCTCGATCGAAATGGGGCTGCCCCGGGGCTAAACTTTCGTACTCCTGGCCCAGGCTATCCGTCCAGCCCGAAGCCGACAGCAAAAGTGGGCCTCTGGAGCCGACGCAGGAGGCCCAAACGCAGCCGCACCCGAGGCATTGGGCTGGCACGGGCTGGCAGTGTGGCACGTGTCTCGGGCAGAAGCAGCGGAGGCCGCTGGGAGAGCGGTGCTCCCCCTCCCCTGCGGGGGCCGCCCGCGGCTCTCAGAGCTCTCGGCCATCGGCGTGTGCTGCTCGACCGGCCGAGCGATGGCTTCATGTGCGTATGCCCCAGGTGCGGCCCTTGGACGTCGGGGGGCGCCTGGCATCCCTCGGCAGAGGATGGGCTCCACGCAAAAAGCTGTCTCGCACAGCAGTCCGTCGGCGGAGCTGCAGCGCGGGCGGCACGCTGAAAGAGGCTGGTGTGGCAGTCGATGTGCACGAGTGCTTCCACGCGTGTGAGCGCTTGCTGCCTGCGCCTACGCAGGCGCCGCGCCCGGTTTGCACCGTCGGCCGTTTCTGTCGCCTGTGCCGTTGCCGGCTTCCTGCCCGAATGCAGCGAGCCAGCGCGCCACGCACCTGTTGATTCGTTTGGCTGACGCAGGGTCGACCCCCCCAAGAACGCGTGCCCCTCCTCCTCCTAGCCTATGTAAACGGATCGACTCATAAGACCTAGGCCTACTTCTTCCAAGGGCATCAGCAACACTCGACAGTCCTGCTGCTCATCCTCCCTCTCCTTCTCCCTCTTGACAATCCTTCCCCTGCAAGGAGTCGGCGGCATTCCTCCGGAGGAAGTTCGCGAACTTCGCGGCCTCCGTGGAGTTCGGGCTCAGGAGGTACGCTCAGGGCCCCAGTAGACGGGATGACCTTCTCCAGAGGCTCGTGGCCACGTACGGCCAAGACCAGGAGAGTTGCAGACACTTGGCGCTGGCTTTCAGCATGCTGCAGGAACGCGACCTCGCCCAGACTCCAGAGGAAGAAGAGGAGGAGGCGGAGGAGGAGATGGAGGAGGAAAAGAAAACGATGAGTGAGTGCTTCGCGTTGTGGTTTTGGTGGTTTGGGGGTGCTGGGGGGCGACCATCTATTCATATATGTGCACACGCATATAGGTATATCTATGCACATGTATACACACCTGCTCCCAAGGGGTCAGGCACACTCACCGAGAAATATGGGTGATCATCTGTGAGACCAGGTACCGCAGATGTGCAGCACGAACGTCATGTGACTAGAAGCATCGCGAGTACAATATCAGAGGTCATCACAGTGAACATCCTAGGGTGCTATATGTTAACTTGTTCCGTTAGTTTGCAATCCAGTTGCAGCATTGGCCCGTTAATTTGGTGGGGACGCAGGATTACGTATACTGCTATGTCTACAGAGAGGGAAGATGAAGATCGATCGTGTTAATTTAACCCAGACAGTTAAACAATTGTGAAAGTCGTGCTTGGATGAATGTGTGTGTGCAAGAAGACAAATCGATGTGGTAATCTCTGATATTTGCACGACTGCTAGTGTGGCAAATCGTGATACATTTCAGCCTGTAGTTCTTGGGGGAGGAGAAGGAGGAGGAGGAGGAGGAGGAGGAG